TCTAGACGATTCCTCCATGAGACTGAGCACTAACTCGCCCTCTCATTTTTCCCACAGACAGCAGCGTGTGACCGACCAGCCCCACAGGAGCACTGCACGGACCCTCTGCACTGGGAAGACGGAAGAGAGCACTCACGGCACCGGAGCACCTACCTGAGTATCACTATAAATAGTTATAAATGATAAAAAGAAGGCTTTAAAAAGATCGGTATCGGCAGATACTGCTGTCTGTGATCAGAGCACCCCTAATTATGGCTTGTATGGCCACTCACACACTCTCACACTCACACACACTCACACACTCTCACACTCACACACACGCTCACTCTCTCTCTCTCACTTTGTCGTGTGATTCTTCACCCCGTTACTATATATATATATATATATCTCTACACATACATACATACATGCATATCGGCAGAATAATCGACCTAATCATTTGATTACCAAAATAATCATTACCCCTAATCTGAATCTTCTATCCATAATATTGCGAGGACAACAATGGATGGACTTTCTTTTTTTTCCTGGAGAAAGCATTATTATGGATTACGGTCTGGTATTTTAACGAAGGTTTAAAATTAAAATTCCTCAATGAAGTATTTGTTTCTTACAAATACAGCTTTTCACTTGAAAAGACATTCATTGATGGACTGGAGTCGTGTGGATTATTATGTTTTTTTCAGCTGTTTGGACTCTCATTCTGACGGCACCCATTCACTGCAGAGGGTCCATTGGTGAGCAAGTGATGTAATGCTAAATTTCTCCAAATCTGTTCTGATGAAGAAACAAACTTATCTACATCTTGGATGGTGTGTGTGAGTAAATTTTCAGCAGATTTCTTGTCATTTCATTCACTGTTTGTTTAAGAAAAAACAAAAGCACAAATCCTAATGTAATCAAAGTGAATGTAGGATTATGCAAATGTCTATTCCATGAGTGTAAGTGGGTTACACACACAATGAATAAATATAATCTTTTATTATAATAGTTAAATTAGCTCACATGTGCACAGTGCTTGATAGACTGTTATATTCTCCACAATAATGGACGTAGACAATAATATTCCACATCTACTGCTGTCTGCTTTTTATATTGAAAAAGTTCTTGTTCCCACTCCCTATTCAATAATGTCATATACAGTATATTCACCTGCACCCATGCAAACACTTACAGGATAAACTTGACCAGTCTGAATCCAAACGTTGGTACAAATAATCACACTGCATTCTGCTGCCAGCAGTGAAACAAATGTATTTCTCATGACAAGACATTTCATGTGTGCAGCTCACGTTATAGAAACATTTCCAAGACCACCTGGCACAACATATAAAAGCTTTTAATAATTTATTTAAGTTACAACCACACAGAAAATACAGGCTTTTTGTCAAAAAAATGATTAGAGAAAACTCTAATGCAGCTGGTTATCCATTTAAAACATTTGGACTTTGTTGCTACACATCCTATAGTTGCTTGTCATTTTAATTAATACATGCAAACAATGCTGTGTGAGATTTTTTTCAGCTGTTTTTGAAAATCTTTAGAAGAATTGCTGATAAATCACCAATAGGACACACATCAAAATATATAATGTATGACCAAAAAAAATCATAGAAGTTAAAAACATGACATTTTCAAATTCATTTACCATCTTTGAAAGACATATATAACATTGAATTAACAGGCACAGAGGAAACAGGCACAAGATTGACATTTTTAGTGTCACCTCATAAAGGAGCGCCACCTTTTCATTTAATTTAAGACCAATAACAGCTTTACATCTATAGAAATCACAAAACACATAAAGCTGCAAATTATTCCCACTGCAACTGGAAAATCAAATTGTGAAATTCATTCTCGGAGAACTGTGAAAATCCAGAAAGATGTTTATATCTCACACACAGCGTGCCGTGGGCAAACACCGTCCCACACATGCACAGACGTCACACAAGATCAAATAGCAACATTGAGGGATTTAGCACATCAAAAATAACTGTGCAACAATAAATTTGGTTCTTCTATTCAATGGTATATGTAAATATGGTATATCCTCTTTTTGCAGTAGTTCAAAGCAAAATACCCACTGACTGGGCAACAGTATCCTATAAGGATGATGCAATACAGCAGAAGTCACCTCTGTGTTACCTCGGTTAGACAGACAAATGGCATGATGTCTGGCTTCTTCTAGATACAATGGCACAACTTGACAGGCTTGACAAATCTCATTCGGACTAAGTGTGCTTTTGGTGTATTTTTAGATTGACTGATGGATGTCAATAGATGAAAGCATGAGATTATGTGAACGCTGTTTTATTACAAACTTTTCCCAGAGCACTGCATCTGTCACAATGACATAAAAAAGCATCACATTTAGTATATACAGTATATAATACTCTTTTTACACACAATGGTGGCTGTTTAAATTCATCCAACCAAATGTTTGTTTTCCTTATCATGCTATCTTCATCCAACCAAATTGTAATGTTTTCCTTGTCATGCTATGTTTTTCTTTATATTTTGATATGAGTGAATTTATCAGGGTTTGGATTTGGATTCTTAAACTTGCCTTTAGTTTTTCAACATCACAGTAAATCACCTGAAATTACGGCCAGCCTTGATATCTGGTTGTGCTACAACATGTTGCTCCAAGCTATGTAAAACATGTACTACTTGAAAACAAGTAGTAATTTTCTAAATGTTGCCCCAGATGGCTGCCTGTGCTATTAGTAAGTGTGCTATTAGTAAGCAAGTAGCAATTTAGCAGGCAATTTTAGCCAAAGCTACTTAAATTGCACATTACAGGGACCATCTCCTGCAGCAGCTCCAGGGTTAAGGGCCTTGCTCAAGAGCACAATATCCGTGGTAATTGAGCCAGTTACCTTCCAATTACAACTCCATTACTGTAGTTGCACTGCATTAGTACCGTACACTCTAAAAAATGCTGGGTTAAATACAACCCAGTGCTGGGTAAAATAGGGACAAACCCAGCAATTGGGTTGTTTTGACCCAGTGGTTGGGTTACTACCCAGAAGGTAGTACATTAACACAATTTGATATGTAGGTTTTGTTCATTCAGGGCTGCTTTATCCTTTGCATGTGCCCATAAGTAAAGCCTCAGAAATAGTTTTTGCACAGTTTCAAGACTTGGTCCTTTGCATAAATATGCAAAAGCCAATGGCAATAATTAGCGCTGTCAGATAAAGTTTACACGCTAAAAAATGCTGGGTTAAATATAACCCAGCTATTGGGTTGTTTTGACCCGGCGGTTGGGTTCAAAACAACCCAATAGCTGGGTTTGTCCCTTTTTAACCCAGCGCTGGGTTATATTTAACCCAGCATTTTTTAGAGTGTAGTGGTCAAAAAATCACAGTTATTATGTGTGGGAGATCAATTCAAATCTACTTGGTGGTACAAGAATGAATGTAAGCTCAAACCTGAGACCTGGCCACCCAATAATTTTATAGTCTATACTAAAACTGGTAGCAGTATATAAAAAAGAGCCCAGCTTGGTTGGTCCAGAAGAGAGCATTCTGCAGTAGCTGTTAAAAACAACATCATAAGCATCTGAAGCTTTGTATATTATATATTTCACTTCTATAACAGCCCAAAAAACTCGCTATTACCAGCAGAAATTAAAATATTCAGAGGGATACAATTGCATGAAACAGTAATTCATTTCGCTATATCTATATTTTACACCACCTGACATCTAAAAATACCGTAAACATTATTGATAGACTGTAACAATATCCATACATTTAATACAGTGCTGCCTGAGAATTACTCATGCATGGAGATAAGTGAATTAAATATGGCTAATGTGTTAGAAAAAACATATTCATAAATAAAACAAATAAATAAGACCCTGATATGAAATTATTCTAGTGCAACAGAAGCTGTCAAAATGTGAATATAATTAAATAATAGGCTAGCTGTTACAGTGAAATATCATAAATTAGCCCAAAAAAATCTCATTCAGTAGTTTCCGACCTGAAATCAAAACAAACATCTTCTGTATTCGCTCATTTTTATGTGATTTTGTTTGTGATGTGGTGCTATTCAAATTCCACTTCAAAGGCAGGAATACACTACATAATTTTAGCCCCAATTTACTATCTGGATGAGTCAAAGCTTGCTACCGGAAGTCATAGACAATCTGCTGATTTTGGGCAGCCGAATTTCACAGATTTCACAGAAAATCATGTAGTGTATAACAGGCACAGATTATTATTTATCAAACAAGTTTGATATTCCGAGCTGATTTCAGAACACATATTGTTTTAATTTGTCATGCGTCTCCAAGCAATAAGGAGCATATTTCTGTATGAGTTTATTTTGTTCAGAATGACTTGAAGGTCTGGTAGTGTATGATCCTCAGCTGTGTATGATGCCTAGTTTTTTCAGATGTGTTCAGATTTAAAAAGTCATGTAGTGTGTTCCACTATGGATTTTTATTTTTTATTTTTTGGAAAAGGGGTGGTTCACTGGTTTTTTTCTAGGCTTGATTGTGTTTATGGGGTGTAGTCTATCATGTGTTAATGCTTCGTTTAAAAAAAACAACATTATTTTTCACATCATTTACCTTTATTCCACACCACTGTCCCTTCTCTGAGAAACGTGCTGATCATTTCCTGTTTTTATGAAGCCCCGCCCTCAGAAATAGGTGATGGGGGGGTTTATCTGCGTTTGTGATGTCACGAACCCGGGAAGTAACTCGTTGTAGTCCCTACCAGCCGTTTCTGTAGGCATTAAACTGCCAGAATTTTAAAAGACGACATCTCCGTTTGCATTGAACTTTCAGCTTCGTAAATTTGCAGATATTGTTTATGCTCAAACAGCAACATTACACACTAACTAACGTTAAAAAAGTGAAATTGCAATCAACCACCCCTTTAACATCTTATACCTTCTATATTTTTTTAATCTCTTCCATGGCAACACAGTGTTTATTTTTTTCAAAGGACACTGGTTTAGGTGTCACTTTCACTTAGATGGCGAGGACTAAATGTGAGCTGTGGGTGGGATAAAAATTAGAAATATCTAGGATTAGAGGGATGATCCGCTACAGTGCTTTCATATGCGAATATGCGTTTATAAAAACAATGGAATATTCAAATAAAATCAGAATGGCAAAATCTTGGGTGCTTCCTTAGGATTGCTGGATGGCATTGCCCTTGGCTATACGGCCAATTAGAGGCAGGGCTCTGAGTTCCGCACGGAAGCTGTGATTGAGCCAGCAGTATATAAAGGGGTTGTAGCAGGTAGAGCTCATGGCCAGCCAGTGAAAGGTGAAGTACAGGGCATTGTTAGCCTGGATCACTTTACTTGACAGCAGCACAACGTAACAGTTTAGAGGAAACCAGCAGACTGCAAACACGGCCACCACTGCGATTAACATTTTCAAAGTCGTCTTCTTCCTTCTGCGATGAGCGGCCGACTGAGCCAGCGTGACATCACCAACAGCGTTCCGGAACCAAACCTTCTTGGCCACCACAAGGTACGATAAGGAGATAATGGCTAAAGGTAATACATAGAGCAGGACGAACGTGGCAAGATCCAGATACTTCCAAAAGAGATCGGAGGGATGAGGAAAGCTGGGTAGACATACCATCCGTACTCTGTTATTGCTAAAAGAGACAAGAAGAGACATCTTTTAAAAATGAAAATTTGCTGAACATTTTCTCTCCCTCAGGATTTCCAAGATAATTTTGTTTCTCCATCGAACCAGATTTTAGGATTATATCGCTTGATTCTCACCAATGGATTCTCTGAATGAGAGTCCAAACAGCTGATAAAAACATCACAGTAATCCACATGACTCCAGTCCTTCAATTAATGTCTTGTGAAGTAAAAGGCTGCATGTTTGTAAGACACAAATTTATCATTAAGGAGTTTTAACCTCTGGCCAAAATACCAGTTCATAATCTATAATACTTCCTCCAGTGAAAAAGTCCCTCCACTGTTGTCCTCACACATCAAAATCCACCAACATACAGTATTTGTTTAGAACTGTTTTGGCCTGTGCATAATTGATGGACTCGAGTTGTTTGGATTACTTTATGGATTATTGTGATGTTTTTAATCAGCTTGGACTCTCATTCTGCATTCACTGCAGAGGATCCATTGGTGAACAAGTGATATTATGCTAAATTTGCGATGAAGAAAAAAAAAATGACATATTGGATGGCCTGAAGTTGAGTACATTTACAGCTAATTTTCATTTTAGGGTGGAAAAGCATGAGTTTTTTATTTTTTTTATTGAATTTTTCATTTAATTGCATTTTCAAGCTCACAACTAAAAGGTACAGTTGGGGGTGACAGATTAAATACAATGGGAGGCTTCACTAGACACAAAACTTATCTCACTGAAGTGTTTATATATCTCTCTATTCAGGACTGACTGCAAACACTTCCAATGATAGGAAGGTATCCTTGCTTGAATGCTGCTTTTTCAACATTTTAGAATTTAATTGAGTTTCTTGTGCCCCTGCACAGAGAACAAAATGTTCTCATGATGGCATTATAACAATCATTATTTACATCCATTTAAATTGTCACAATAATATTTAAATCATGACAACTCTCAGAAGATTTTAGCATAGTGATGGATATGACAATGTTAATGTATTTGGTCTTGGCGGAATAGATCTGCTACGCTGCTGCTGCTGAATTGCTGCTGCTGTTGGTAATTGCTGTAGTTGTAGATTATTGCTGCTGCTGCAAGCAAGTACAGGAGCTTGCTACTGCCAATGCATATGGTGATACGGTGCAGTGAGTATTTAAGACATACTGCTGCTGCACAAATAGCATATAAAATAACCCGTAGCAGGTCTATACAGTTGGAGCTGGGGAAGGTGGAGGGTTTCAGAGAAACTCTGAAAGCGTGCTGCAGGAATCTCAAGTGAATGCTAGCCAGTCATATAAACAGAGGCGGACTTAACCATTAGGCAAAGGTAGGCGACCGCCTTGGGCCCCCAAAAGCCAAGGGCCCCCTAAAATGCTTTTTATATGCGAGATGCGCATTCAGTGCTGACCCACAAGTGGTTGCTCTGGTGTTCATTATCACGACAACCGTCTGTGTGTCCGCGTTGAACGTGCTTCTTAGCAAAAGTAGGGGGCGATGTAGAAAATGGGGACGGAAACCCGGAATCTATTCATAAAAACGGAATTTACTGTGTAACGCGGAATGTGACGGAATGTGATGGAATGAACGGCGCTGACGCGCGTTTCGTTTGCTAGTTTGCTATTTAAGCACGCGCAACGCTCGCGGTTGTCGTCTGTAGTAGCTAATAGTATTTTTGCCATTTAGTATTCACTTACACTAGTCCATATCGCGGTTTGATTGAAGCGTACTGAATT